ATCCCATTTACCTTTTCAACCTGTACACATCCATTCAGTATATGGAGATCTGGTGAAGATCGATCATAACCAACATTGATCTCAAACTCTCATTATCCTTTCTCCGATCCTCTCATATATATCTATTCTCTCTCTATAAAATTTCATAGCGTAGGTATCCAAAAAAAGTGGTACCAAGCTAGAACACATTACACTATTGTTGTTCGTCGATCACTTTCCGCAAAGAAGTTGGTGGTTTTCGATATGACGACTCCAGCCTCACAACCGGAGCTCTTTGAGCTCAGCAATGGCTCCATGAAGGTCAAGATCACCAATTTGGGTTGCACCATCACATCCTTGGAAGTTCCTGACAAAAACGGTACAACCACAATGAAAGAAATATTTATTATGAGTTTTTGGATATTGATTGTTATTTTGATTTTTCTGTCTTGTCTATTTTCTTGTATAGGAAGTTTAGCCGATGTTGTTCTTGGATTCGATTCCATCGAGCCATACCAGGTAATTACCAGTCGTTTTGGTGAAATTTTAAGCATCTTCTGAATCAATCAATCATCCAATGTCACAATGTATATACTTAATTATGTGGATGTGCAGAAAGGTTTAGCACCATACTTTGGTTGCATAGTGGGACGAGTAGCAAATAGGATCAAGGACGGCAAATTTAGCTTGGAGGGAGTTGAATACACTCTGCCTCTCAACAGGCCTCCAAACAGCCTCCATGGTATAACTCTATATTGATCCTCCTTAATTCATTCCTTAATTATGTGTGTAATCAACCATCAAATCAAGTAATGATGAACAAAATGTTTGTGTTAATTAGGTGGTAACAAGGGATTTGACAAGATGGTCTGGGAGGTTGCTCAACAAACTCAAGGCCAAACCCCTTCCATAACCTTCAAGTACCACAGCCGTGATGGAGAGGAAGGTAATTAATACATCACAATCACATATGAGCAATGTGCTAGCTATGAACATTACATACAATTGATACATGTTCTGCTTTTGATTGAGGATGACACTTCGATTTGCAGGGTACCCTGGCGACCTTGCGGTAACCGCAACTTATTCACTGATATCGAACACTACACTGAAACTCGAAATGGAAGCAGTGCCGGACAAGAAAGCCACTCCGGTGAGCTTAGCACAGCACACATACTGGAACCTCGCCGGACACAGCCACGGGACCATATTGGACCATTCTATCCAGATTTGGGGCTCTCATGTCACTCCAGTCGACCAGAACACGCTCCCCACGGGGGAGATCCTCTCGGTGAAAGGGACGCCTTTCGATTTCACGGCGGAGATGAAGAGGATCGGGGCCTCGATCCACGAGGTCGAGGGCCCGGGCTACGACCACAACTACGTGCTGCAGCAGGATGGCAATGGGGATCAGAAGTATTCGGGCCTGAGGCTCGCCGCCAAGCTCAGGGACCCTTCCAGCGGCAGAGCCATGGCTCTGTGGACCAATGCGCCAGGGATGCAGTTCTACACGGCGAACAATGTGAATGGGATTGCGGGGAAAGGTGGGGCGAACTACGGGAAGCACTCTGCGGTCTGTTTGGAGACTCAGGGTTTCCCCAATGCTGTGAATCAGCCGAATTTCCCTTCTGTGATTGTGCAGCCTGGGCAGAAGTACCAGCATACCATGGTGTTCGAGTTTTCAGCTGAATGAGGAACACAGTGTGTCTATGTGTGTGGGGCTTTATTTGAGTGAGAGTTCATACAGATACTGGTTCAGTATGTTATGATCATATGATGAACAGATCAATTGAGGAAGTTCTGGCCCTCTGTTTCTAATATAAACAGAGTGTTCTGTTGCTTTAGTATAATGTTTTGATTAGTATCCTTTCACATGGAGACTTTAGTCATTCAAGGAAAATTAATAAGAAGATATATGGTTTGTTTTCTTATGAAGGAGAAGAGTGAGACTGATATATGTTCCATTCCCCCAGATTCTAGGTTAATTCTAGAAAATTGTTACGTTAATTATTGTTCGGGATATTAATAGTTGTTTTATGATGATAAATGCATATACAATCTTCTACTTATAATTTAGGAGAATCTTGTAACTATCTTTATAGTATCAATACTTTCATTTACAACAAAAAAAAAATTCATATAATACAAATTGAACTTGTAACTTTTGCGTTATGTTACAAGCTCCAGAACATAAATGTACAGCTGACAGATGATTTAGTAGAAATATGGGTACTTTAGGAAATTTAATAAAAAATATTGTCTATGGAAATTTTTTTATGGAAAAATCCTGAAATATTAGAAGCCTAGATTAATTTTTGTCCTCAGCCTATAGATCGGTATCGAGCTGCATTTTGAGTATAGATTCAGTTGTCAGTTACTCAACAACTCCAAAAGATCCCGAAATCCACGTATCCCCTCGATCTCCAGATCCTCTGTTCATTTCCATGCCTCAAATCCCCTCATCCCGGGATCTCATCAAATCTGCAGATTCCCCATTGTTGTCACCCTCCGACTCCGACGACCCGACGACACCATTAATGGATCCCGCCGACACGCCGCAGAAGAGCTACTGGCGATGGAGCAAACAGGACTTTTTCCCCGAGCCCTCTTTCCAGAACTGCTCCGCTTACAGAGCAGCGCTCTCCCAGACCGGCCGCCGTTTCAAGGAGCGGCTCCTCTCGCGTTCCTCCGACGACAACGAGCTCGTCAATCTCCGCCGGGAGAGCCAGAACCCTATGTCCAAGTGCCTCACCTGGTGGGACCTCATGTGGATGAGCTTCGGCTCCGTCGTCGGCTCCGGAATCTTCGTTATCACCGGCCAGGAAGCTCGTAATCACGCCGGCCCTTCAATCGTCCTCTCCTACGCCGTCTCTGGGCTCTCTGCCTTACTCTCCGTGCTCTGCTACACGGAATTCGCCGTGGAGGTTCCCGTCGCAGGTGGGTCTTTCTCCTTTCTTCGAATTGAATTGGGTGACTTCGTTGCTTTCCTCGCCGCTGGGAATATTCTTCTGGAAGGGATTGTTGGTGCTGCTGGGTTAGGAAGGTCTTGGTCATCTTATTTCGCCAGCATGTTCAATTCCAATAATCCTGATTTCTTGCGGATTAGAATTGAGGGGTTTGCTGAGGGTTTCAATCTATTAGATCCTTTGGCTTTTGTTGTCCTGTGGGTGGCAAATACAATTGCAATGACTGGCACAAAGAGGACATCTTTACTCAACTGGATTAGCTCCATTGTCAGTGCTCTTATGATCGTTTTCATTATAATTGTCGGGCTCATCCATGGCAAGACCTCGAATTTGACCCCATTTTTCCCCTATGGAGCTGAGGGAGTGTTCAATGCTGCAGCAGTAGTGTACTGGTCTTACACAGGGTTCGATATGGTAGCTACCATGGCAGAGGAGACCAAGAAACCTTCGAGGGATATCCCGATAGGATTGGTCGGATCAATGTCCATGATCACAGTGGTGTATTGCTTGATGGCTCTAGTACTCACCATGATGGTGAACTATACTAGAATCGATCCAGATGCTGCTTACTCAGTCGCATTTGCCCAAATCGGGATGAACTGGGGGAAGTACTTGGTGAGCATATGTGCATTGAAAGGGATGACCACTAGCTTGCTTGTTGGATCACTAGGACAGGGGAGGTACACCACTCAGATAGCTAGATCACACATGATCCCTCCGTGGTTTGCTCTGGTTCATCCAAAGACCGGGACCCCAATCTACGCCACTCTTCTAATCACCACTCTGAGCTCCATCGTCGCTCTCTTCTCCAGCTTGGACGTGTTATCATCTGTCTTCTCGTTCAGCACTCTCCTCATCTTCATGCTCATGGCTGTTGCTCTGCTGGTGCGGCGATTCTACGTGAGTGGAGTTAGTACGAGGAGTAGTTTGGTCAAGTTTGTCGCGTGCTTGTGCACCATTATTGGTTCTGCCATCGGAGTGACTGTGTTTTGGAGCACTAGTAAGGGGGGATATGTTGGTTATGTGGTGGGAGTGGTGGTTTGGTTCTTGGGGACTTTGGGGTTGGCTCTGCTGCCAAAGCAAAGAGCGGCGAAGGTGTGGGGAGTTCCAGTGGTGCCATGGTTGCCCGCTCTGTCAATAGGGATGAATGTGTTTCTGATTGGGTCTTTAGGGTATGTGGCGTTCCTAAGGTTCTTCATCTGCAGCGGCGTGATGGTGTTGTACTACTTGTTTGTTGGTGTTCATGCGACTCATGATATGGCTAATCAGAAACTAGGGGAAACGAATGTTGCTTTGGGTTGATCCAAATTGGATCAGGTGTTTCTGAAAGCTAGTTTTCATTCTGCGAATATGAAAGTGTGGATATTCTAGAACATATAGGTTCAATTAGATATGTAAGAATGTAGAGGGGTCTGTTTTGTTGTTGCATTGTTTATATCTTAAGATATGATCGATTCCTGATTGAAGATGATGAATTATAGCACTTCCGTGGATTATTCATATTATTCCTGTAGTTATTTTTCTTAGTGATTAGTATCTCGTATAAGTCCGACCCCCAGAACTCCTATAGCCGACAGACTGAAGCGGAAGAGAGAGGCTGAGGAGATGGGCGATGTCATGAAGGCAGTGGAGGACAAGACTATGCTTTCCAAGCGGGATACGGATATTCTGGGTGTGCTTGATGAGCTGAAGTCGGCGAGATTGAGACACACGGCGGCTCGGCCGCTGATAAGGTAATGGTTCTCTGAACTCAAATGCTGCTCTCTGTAATGGCTGTTGAATTGTGAGGTTTTGTATTGAGCAACTATGAACCGCCATGTTCAAGTGTGACTCTTTTTGGAAATGGGTTGTTTAGGATTAGCGAAGATGCTCGATTAAGGTTGGGGGAAGTCTGTACTTTACACGGATTATAAGACTGGCGGCAGACTTCAATCCCTCTGTGAAAATTAGACGACACGACAGCGACGATGGAAGTGAATGATCAATGCATCCAATTCAGATTAAAAGGACTAATGGATCAACTCAAAAGGATGAAAAATGAACTTCAGAAGAAAAGCTACGAGTTTAGAAGATAATAAGCGACAAAGTAAAAGCAAAGGAGGCTTGATTGTCTACTTCATAGTTCATTCATGTTTCTTCCTTTTCTTCAAGCTAGCATCTCACTGTAAGGGAACTGGAATCACACGTAGAGCATATTTTCTTCCAACAGACGCCCCAAAACATTCTGTCATGTCGAGACTCTCCGGTTTCAAATCGTCCGGGAGTTCCCAACGAAAATGATAGAGCAAATTTGCCAGAGTAAGCTTAACAACTTCCATTCCGAAATCGTATCCGGGACACATCCTCCTCCCTGCACCGAACGGGATGAAGTGAAAATCGTTCCCCTTGTAGTCAGTCGAGCTCCTGATGAATCTTTCAGGGTAAAATTCCTCTGCTTTATCCCAATAACGAGGATCCCGACCGATGGCCCAAGCATTCACGAACAATTTGGTTTTCGCGGGAATCTCGTACCCACAAAGTTCCATCCTCTCGTCGTTCTCTCTGGGAAGAAGCAGAGGACCCGGAGGATGCAGTCTCAAAGTCTCCTTGATAACGCAATCCAAATACTTCAACTGATGCAGACTTGCTTCCTCGACGTTTCCTTTCTCACCGAACGCTTGTTTGACCTCATCTTGCACATTTTGCATAACGTTTGGGTGCTTAATCAATTCGGACATCGTCCATTCGACTATTTTGGACGATGTGTCATTGCCGCCGAGTAGCATTTCCTAATTGGCCACATTGAAGAGATAACAACGAAACAAGAATAAGTTAGGTTAATTAACGACTGCTGTGATGACTTTATATATACACGAGATTATATAGCTAGCATGGTCAGTTGGTTACCAAAATGACTGCTTTGATGACTTTCATGGTCAAGGGGAATCGCAGCTGGCTGGAGTCAAAATTCAAGAGAACATCAATGAGGTAGTGTTTATGGTCGATTTGTCTCTGCGATTTCCTCTCATGGATAATGACGTCCAGTATGGAATCTGCCTCTTGATGCATTTTTTCAAGTTTCCCTTTGAACCCAGTGAGAGCGGGAAGAAACGTAAGAGAAGGATATAGGTCTGAGATTCTGAAACCTGCTACAACATCTGAAATAGTTTCAACGATGGTAAGCAATGCCTGGTTCAGGCCTCGAATGGTGCCGAAGGCTGCTCTGGCAGCCACGAAACCCGTCATTTCCCCCACCATTCGACTGAGATCTACGCCCTCGTTACTATTATTATTTAGGAGATCTGCTGCAAGATTTGTAAAATCATATAGACCATATCGAAAAATGTACAGAATAGGTTAGCAATATAGTACGTTTGGTGATACAGTAGTCATTAGCAAACCATTATCTTACTGCATACAAACTAGTTATCGACAATTTACTTACTTAAAATTTAAAATGGTTTTAGAGTGTAATATGTTAATTATTTTATCAAATATTTGCTCCATTATTTTCTTACAACAAACATGTCCCTCTATTTTGAAAAAATTATCGAACACGCCTTTATAATAAAATATTCATAAAAAATCATTAACGACTATCAAATCTCGATTTAAGTGACACAAATGTTAAAAATATCCCTAATAATTTCAGTTTAGCAGTTTCTTTTGTATAGCCCGATTACCCAATAATTTCACTTTAACGACAAAACTTAGAGAAATAAATGAAAGTGCAAAAGTGACATTTTCCTTTCATTTTGCTGCGGTTAGGTCATCTGAACCATGGTTTGGTTATCAATTTTTGGATGAAAATTTCAACAAAAAGACATATTTGATAATATTTTCAAAATAAATAACCATTTTTATGTAAAAATAATAAAGATACATATTTAATAAAAAAAATATATAATAAAAAAGTATATTATACATTAAATCCAACTAAAAAATATATCAGACCCAGAAATTACTTCAAAAACATAGAAAGAAATAACTTCAAAAACCCGAAATAAACAAAGCCTAATTAATTAATTAATCTCACCGTCTTTACTCCGACCCCCTAGCTCCGCCGCCGCTTCCCGGAGGCGCACCACAAGTTTGGCGACCTCTTCCTCCCTTATCCAGCGAAACGACTGGACCCGCTTGGCGCTGAGAAGCTCGACGGTGCAGATCTTGCGGAGCTGGCGCCAGTGCTCGCCGTAGGGAGCGAAGGCGATGTCGTTGTAGCCGCCGCCGTAAAGGACGTAAGGCGCGAAGATGGCAGGCCTGGAGGCGAAGGCCAGATCGTGGGTCTTCATCACCTGTCTCGCGGCCTCGGGCGTCGAAACGACGACGTGTGGGAGCTCTCCCAGCTGGAGGCTCATGACGTCAGCGGCACCGTACTGCCGCGCCAGCTCGCTGAGGCGGCGGTGGGGTTGGGAGTAGCCGCCGTTCATGGCCAGCTGGTGGAGGTTTCCGATGACGGGGAGCTTCCATGGCCCTGGCGGAGGAACGGTGGTCGGACGTTTCTTGGAATTACGGACGATAATTATGGTGATTAGGAAGGCGGTGAATATTGTTGCGGTGAAGCTGAGGAGGCCGATAGAAGGGTCGTTGAAGAAGATGGACTTGATCGTGGCTGCCATTTTCGTTGGGAAAGCTCGAGATTTTTTCCGATGAGTTATTAGTTATGCTCCGGCTATTGGGAGCGGAAAATAAAATACTCTTCATAATTTTAGTAACCCTTTTCACTTACTATTGATGCATGGAATGCATCCAATTTTTGTTTTTTTTTTTTCTTTTTCAAATGAATTTGACAGGCTATTTTTTACAGAATACTTTTTTTTTTACAGAAAACTTAGATTAGTTGTAATTTTTTAAATGACATCGATTCAACTATGTGGGCCGAGAGTCAAATAAATGTGCACATTTGATGGCTCGTGCCTAGTGTAGATGGAAGGTAGAGGAATTGTGGGTGGATAGACCACTAATATTTTTTGTATCTTTTCTAGAAGATGATGGTTCTACTTCTATTATCTTAATGAAATAAAAACATAGTTATTATTCGGAGAGAAAATAGTTATGTCCACTTTGATATATTATAAAATAAACAAATTGAGATATTTATTATGGGTTCATATCCTGTGATTATACTTGATAGTACATGAGATTATACCACATGATATAATATTATCTACCATCAAATAGTACCATATGGTAATAAAAATTTCATTTTCTTTTTTAAAATAAATTAAAATAGATATTATTTTGAAGAGCACAATAAATCTGTTTTTTCCATACAAACTTATTTTCATTTTGACTTAACACAAACGTGATATAGCCGTTACAATTTAAATGAAAAATTTAAAAATCTTCTATAAGTAGTAAGTACAGGTTATGCAATTCTACCAAAAAAATAAACAGGTTATGCAATGGTATGCAGCAGGGCTGGGCGTGCCGACGGATCACTTGCGGGTTTGGGTCGACCCACCCTCATTTTATCCGAATTTCGTTATGTGGGTGGGTGATTGGTTGCGCTGAGAGCCATCTGGCGGGTGGATTGTGGGCAGGTGTGCGGGTGACCCGCTCAACCCAACAACAACAAGAACAAAGTCGTTAGCGCTGGAGAGAGGAGAGTGGAGACGTTAGACGGAAACTAGGGTTGTTCATGAAGATTGAACCTTAAAGTCAACCTTCCAAATAGCGATCCCCTTTATTTTTTCATTTGATTCTTGTACCTAGGTCACCTCTCTTTCCTCCGATGAATTATTTTCATTAGTTCGTTGCACTTGATAATCATCTCCATCTTAGAAAACTCCTCCATAATATAATTTTTCTCTAATTTGACATTTCCCCCGTTCCATCTTCTTGTTTCCGCCCGATAACTCACTCCACCAATTATCATGTCAAGTTTACTCCTTTATATTATATACATTGTGATGTGGGTGAACCCACAAACTCACTCGCATTATCCATATCATCCGTCCGACCCAACTCGAGACGAAATGTGGGTGGATGGTGAGTTAAAAATTATCAATCCGTTTAAGCGCGGGTGAATGTGTTTTATAGTCAACACCCACCCCAACTATGCAGCGTATACGCTATCTAGGGAATGCATTTGCCAACTAAAATCCAAAAACCCATTTGCACGTATATTTTTTTTTATAACCCATGAACATCAGCAACCCACATGCCACATGAGTGACAGCAGAGCCTACTAAACCTGGGGGTACCTGCATACTAATCATCAAGGACTTTGTCCTGGCGTAGTGCCCGGCGTTGTGCTACCATTATCGGGAAGACTTCGTCTCCTGTACCAAGAATGCCTCCAGGAACACCAAGAAGGTGGTACTAGGATTCGAACCTGGGGCCTTGTCACATCCCAAACTCACAACCCTGCCCTTTTACCAACTAGGCTTTCTTACCATCGGCCATTTGCACGTATATTAGATAAGGGCATAAGTCTAAGAAATAAAAAGAAGAACAAGAAGAAGATAACGCTACAGACAATGAGATTGGAATATAATGGCCCATTCCTTTGATTGAAGACCGCGCAGCTTGCTATTATCGATCGATGTGATGTTTCATTTGGGGTGGGGGGATGATTTTGCAATTCCATTCCATCACATCAACTTTAGGCTTATTTTTTTTGTTTATGTATTTCAATTGTGTCATTTTTAGTATTAAATGGCTCTATTTACAGCAACTATCAAGATGATTATAGCTCCAGCAAAAATCTTCAATAATTCATTTTTTAATATTTAAATAATGAGTTTTTTTCTCTATTACTATCCAATCATAATCTTGCCCTTTTTCATAAATTATAAATTTTACCTTTTTGTCTTTGATAAACCTAATTAATTTTGATTATTCAATTATTCTTCAATAATATTTTCTAATAATTTTTCATTAAAGTTGTTCTTACTGTTTTTTTACTAATGGTTAACCATTAATTACTGAGGTTAATTTACTGTAACCACAAAAATCACGATTCTCTGTCAAAAAAAATTTAAAACATTTTAGTAGATAATTGTTAATATTAATAGATCATATTATCAAATTTTAGTGACTTGTCTAAAATTAAGTAGTTAGCACTTTTTTTGGTGAAATAGTAGTTAGCACTTTAGTATAAGTCGTTTGTTATTTTGTTGAATAATTGGTTATTGTAGATTTATACTTTCTATTTTATGTTGAATTAGTGACATCTAGCTGCATGAATAATGATGATGATAAATGGTTGCTAATGTTGCATTTTCTCTTAATAGTTTTATATTTTCTTCTATTTTGGTCGTGATTTTCTCTATGGATTTTATTTTAACTATTTTCTTTTGTTTTTTTCATATTCGTTGCCCTATTTTCTTCTTTTGTCGCTCTTTTATTTGATATATATTTCCTTCACAAGTAACAAATAGTTCTTAAATTTTAAGCGATTGTATCTCTCCAATTTTCTTTTCATTTCTTTTGTCGATTTGTTTTTGACGACAATTATTTGATGATAAAGATGGAAGGTGTAGGGAATGATTGTCCAACTAAATTACAAACACCCATTCGCAATTTGCATGCGCCATTTGTACGTATAAGGCTGCAGAAGAATGCAGATAATGAGATTGGGGAATATTGTGGCGGAATGGCCCATTGCATTGATTATTGAAGACCTTTCAGCTTGCCATAATTGATAATAATATTTGTAAAGGAAGATAAGATAAAATTATTATTCAAATTATAAAGCAGTATTATATATGACTCGTAGCCAAATAATATGTTATGTTTATTACAAAATAATTTTATATTTTTCATGGTTTTCTTTAGATTGAAAATTAGATAATGAAATATATTAAATTTCAAGACAAATTTATAATATTATACAAGTGTCTCGATTACGAATGTCTCGTGTAAATTTTTTTAAGAAAATCATTTACTTACAAAATTCTACATTGTCAACTATCTATATTCATACAAATGATTCGTTTTGGAAATACCCAAGCAAATAAAGCCTACAGACTGCATGCACAATTTTTGGCCATATTTTTGTGTAAAATGCAAATTAATTAATTACCATTCGATAAAATATAATTGGCGTGCTTAAGCAAAGGCTGATAGAGTGAGATCCTCTAAGCTAGCACGCACCTGATCTATTTCGTGCAATCAAGAAACAGAATAGAATATAATTAATGGTTAACCACTAAGTACTGCTATATGGAGTGCCGACGCAGACAGGACAAGAGTTGGTATGCAGGCTGCTGGTATTAGTGAATGGAGCAGTTGAGGGAAGACTAATTATGTTTTGATTTAAGATAAAAATTGGTAAATTTTAATGTAATTATCATTGTTGTAAGAATCAAATCAATGACGTGGCCAATAAATCGTCAAACCAATTAAAATAGCAGTGCGGTTCATTTATTTGAACGACCAGTTATGAATTCGAACTACTGTTTTTAACAGTTTTACATGAAACTAGATGAAGGATTTCGATTTGATAGGTTCAACTTGCTACCACCTAGCTAGGTATGGGAGGCCTAACTCTCTCTCTCTATCTATATATATATATATACATACATGCACACGGTACAATTAGCTTGCTATAACTAAATTCCCAGATCCAAAGTAAGTTTCTTTATATATACTTGTGATTCATATATAATTTGATAGAGCTCGGCAGCTCGGCCGCTTCCTATGGCCGCCGCCGGCACAGTAGCGACGACGTCAAGCGCACCCAAACGCCGAACGGCTGAGTTTCACGAGAGCGTTTGGGGGGACTTCTTCATTACTCACGTCCCCCAAACTCATGAGGTATATTAATTGATATAATTATGACTGTTGTGGATTATACAGGAAGTTGTGTTGTTTAGAAGGTTTTGTTTCGACCATATATGGGATATATTCACCCGATTCAAAAGGATAAATTTGTCAAACTTACATGGAGAAAGAAATTCGAATTCGTGAGATCTATGTACTTGACTTTTAGTTTACATGCATTTGGGAAATAAATCATCTCAAATTTAATGTATGCTCAAATAAGGATTTAATCAAATGAATAAGATCTGTTACGTGAGTTTTATGAGTACAACAACTTAAAAACAAGATTTAATTTCTCTGTCTTGTGAACAAGAAAGATAAGGGATGATGACCTGATTCTTCCTATTTGGTTTGTTTTGAAATGGATAATACATGACTTTTAACTGGGTGGGATTGGGTAATGTTTACTATCGTAAACCTAATATGTCCTAACTGTCTCATTCTTTATTCATTTTTATATTAGATTCATATTTATTTAAGTTAATTGAGATTTGACATTTATTATACTATATTATAGTTGCGATAAAGTTTTAAATAGTTGATAACCGCAATTTTTGAATAATTTATATTATCATGGTTGGTTTATTAATTTTTTAAAATAAAAAGTTAAACATTTTGCGTGTTTTTCCTTCAAAATACATACACGTATGCGTCAACCTACCCCAACCCGTATGCCAAAACAAAATGCTCTATGTAAACTCTACCTGTCCGGAACAAGTATAGATATCGAAATACAGCGACGTGTACATTCTCATTCCCAAGAAAGATGAAATCCTAATAACATACACGGTTGTTCTCGGTTACGGGGTCCACCATATATTGAAACGTATTTGTTTCAATTGTTCATATATTTATGTTTTGGGATATAACATGTTTTGTTGTGGTATTATATATTTTTCCATCACAAGTTTGTTATCATATTTTATGTTAAAAAAATTGTTTGTCTACTATAATACAACCTCAAATACACTCCATTAAAATCTCTCATCCAAAAACTGTTAAATTTGGTCAAAACATTATCCGGCAGACCTGTATTTACTATACTACCCCTAATTATCTATTCTGGCACATGTATATGCTTTGGCAAGGTGGTAAATGGCTGGAATGAACAAATTGAAGTACTGAAGTCCAATATAGCGGGTATGTTATCATCTCATGCCGACAACAAAACACTGGATCTCATTGATATAATTGAGCGACTCGGCATCGACTACCATTTTGAGAAAGAAATCGAACTAATTTTTAGACAAGAGTATGTGAAAATTACCAGCGACGGTGACGATTACAATGATGATGACCTCTACACCGTTGCACTCCGTTTCAGACTGTTGAGACAACACGGATGTAACATCTCAAGTGGTACGAGCAATACATATCTCTCCTCGTCCTATGCGTTACTTAATTAATTATCATCATAGATATATGATTATGATCATCAATTGATGATTCAATTTTACTGTGTTTAATTTGCATGTTGGGTACCCTCTCTCTAATAGATATATTCAAGAGATTCAAGACTAGTGATCATGAAGGAGATGAGTTGAAGCAAGAAATCGTCAGTGACGTTGAAGGCATGCTAAGCTTGTACGAGGCTGGGTACCTACGGACGCATGGGGAGAGTATATTAGATGAAGCCATCGCCTTCACAAAGCCACACCTAGCTGCTGCCGCCGGCGCCGAGGATCTCAAACTGGCGGACTCGACTCTCGCCGATCGGATTGCCCATGCTCTGAAATGGCCACACCGCAAAGGCATGAAGAGGGTCGAGCATCACTTCTTCATATCCATCTATGAACAAACGCAAGGGCACGATGAAGCACTCCTCAAGCTGGCCAAGTTGAGTTTCAATGTGGTGCAACACTTGTACCAAAAGGAGCTCAAAGTCCTCACCAAATGGTGGATCGAGCTGGATCTGCCAAAAAGGACGTCGTATGCGCGGGACAAATTGGTGGAGGTTTACTTCTGGGCCATGGGATGCTTGTGGAAGCCCAAATATTCTCTGGCCCGATTCTGTTTCACGAGGGTTACCACAGTCGGATCGGTTTATGATGACACATACGATGCATATGGTACCATTGAAGAACTTGAGAAGTTCACGGCCGCCATCCATAGGTAATATATATACATGCTAATTAAGTTCGATGAATTAACTATGCATAAATAATTTTAACATAATTAAATAATCCATTGAAATGACTATATATTGTAGGTGGGACACTAGCATGCAAGGCATAGAACCGAAAATGAAAATCATTTTCGAGGCGATCACTGATTCTTACGATATTATTCACGAAATGGCAAAGGAGGAATTCGGAAGATCGTATTGTTGGGACTATGGAAAACCGGCAGTACGTACATATATAGTAATATGCATGTTTACATACGGTCATATCTGTTAGTAACTAACTTAATTAATTCTCTACCGCGCGATGATTCATTTTTTTGCATGCATATATATATATATATATGCAGCTAAGGAATGCTGTAAGATTATACCTGGAAGAAGCGCGATGGCTGGACAAAAATTATGTGCCGACCTTAGAGGAATACAGGCGTGTTTCTTCGCTGAGCACTCTCTACCAATGGGTAGCGTTTGCGGCATTCTGCGGGATGGGCGAATCGGCTCCCAAGGAAGTCTTCGATTGGCTATTCACAGAACCTAAATTGTTAGTAGCTTCCTCTGAACACTGCCGTCTAATGGATGACGTTGTAAGCCACGAGGTAATTATAGAATTGAAATCTTAAACCACTCCGATCTTTTTGGATGCATTGATCATTTCTCAATGATCGATGTTGTTTTTGTGTATGTACGTATATGCAGTTTGAGCAGGATAGAGGTCATTCTCCATCGTCGGTGGAGTGTTATATGATGCAATATGGTGTGTCGAGAAAGGAGGCAATCGATGCCCTAAATGACTTGGTGGAGGAGAACTGGAAGATAATAAATGGAGAGTTGTTGAATCCACCCGCTCATGTACCGAAAGAAATTCTTTTGATGTTTCTTGGTTTTGCTCAGATTATGGAGGCGCTCTACGCAGATGGCGATGGATACACCAATTCAGAGACCACCACCAAGGACATGCTTACTGCTCTGCTCGTCACTCCATTTCATGTTTGATCCATCATCTTAATTGAGATTTCCATATTCGAGTTTGGTTGGCTCTTGACTCATTTAATTATAATCACTAGATTTGTTAAGAGTGTTTGCATTACATGCAATGGTTGGATTGTTTGTTAAAAATTTCAAACTCTGAACCTCTGAATGTGGATAGTGATCTATCTTCTATCGGTCAAAAGGAGTAACTTGTTGTGTATGGTTTAATATAATGTGCAATCTATGATCTTACATAAATTGTTTATTGTGTACTTTTTAAGTGTTGAACATATACCTAATTGTATTTTTTTCCAAGAGATAACAAGACAAAAGTTACAGAGAAAAACTGCACCCAAGACTAACACACTAGTGAAGGCACCTACAAAATTACAGGACACTTTTAGTAACTAACTGTAAAAGAGACCGCAACAGGGCTTACACACCATCTATGGTAACCCAGATGGTAGCTCATAAATCACTCTAAATTTAATTCATTGATTCATCAATCCAATTCATTTAACCCATCAATTTATGAATTCATCTATCAAGGATGTCATATCAATGTAACCAACCAAAAAATTGTTTATGATTTCATCAGTAAAAAACTTTTTCTACACTAGCAGTGACAACTGACAACAGATAACAATAATGAGGATTGCAGAAATCAATAATATATACACAGCGATGTTTTGTAACTTATGGGAATGTGGAGTTGGAATGGGAGATAGAGAGACCACGTGAGTGGAGGCGGCAGACAAGTTGGCGGATATTGTGATAATTGGAATGGCCAATGCATGCACCGATTGAAGTTGCATTGATCAAGTTGGGTTAAAAAAAAAACAGATATGGAATATCCACACAAGGCCTGATTCTCTAGTTGCAAGGCTTCTTAAAGCCAGGTACTACCCTAGAGGCACGATTATGGAGGCAAAAATGGGATAGCGACCTAGTTACATCTGGCGGACTCTAATGAGAGCTGTTGACTTGATTAACCACGGATGCAGATGGAGGATTGGATCAGGGAGGATGTGAAGATATGGGGTGACAGGACTCGAGAATTTTCAAGTGTATTCTTAGAGTCCTTTTATGGAACTGGATGCAAAGGTCTCTTGTTTAATTGACCAGGAGAAGAGAGAATGGAGGAAAGACTTACTGGAGCTAATATTCACAAGAGAAGAAACAGAAGCCATTCTAGCAATTCTCCTCTCGACATCTATTGACAAAGACAGACTGTGCTGGACAGGGAAAGAAAATGGAATTTACACGGTCAAGTCTGGATATCATGTTGAGATCAATACACAAAATGATAGGATGAATGACGAAGCGGGGAGTGCAAATGAAGGAACTTTCTGCTGGAAAAAGCTATGAAAACTAAATGTGCCTGGGAAGTTGAAGATATTCCTTTGGAAAGCTGCTCACAACATCCTTCCAGTGGAGGTGTCGAAACCGGGCAGCTCAATTAATACGATATTGTCCGCTTTGGGCCAAACCCGCACGGTTTAACTTTTGGGTGTCCTCCCCAAAAGGCCTCGTACTAATTGAGCTTGGTGGACACTAATATACAAGGGTTCCTTCCCTTGTATTACCGATGTGGTACTTGGATTGTCCCATAACAATCCTCCCCTCAAGACAAGGACCACGAACTTCGTGTCCTCACCTCAACGATTATCTTGATCCGCCAGAGACACCTTGTATCGATGGGCCTCTCATTACAAGGATTTTTCCCAGACGCAGAACTATCTTTGATCTGTCAAATCAAACGCAGATCTCGAGGAAAGGCCAACGAGGATCTATAAGTGGAAGCCACTGGAGTCACACGATTTCAAGATGATCGAGGATGTGACCGCTTTGGAAGGAGAAGGATTGGGTTTTGGGTTTGTTGTCAAAGACAAGGGGGGAGAAATTTTGTTGTTAGAGTCTTTGGCGATTCAGTGGGGTTTGAAGATGACAGAAAGATTCAATTTCCTCTCTGCGGAGATGAAATCAGACTGTCAAGTGACGATTCGGTGTTTGGAGAAGGAAGAGAACAATTTGACGAAAATGGGGGATCTATGGGAGGAACTAAGAGATTGCAAAGCAGCAATTAGGCCAATGACTTGTACCTCCTGTTGTTGGGACCAAGACGAAATTTGGCACACTAGGCCACTTATTTTCTTTGTAGCATAATTACATTGAGAATAAGTCAAGCAACTAGAAAAAAACTGCAGAGGCTAAGCCAGCGGAGAAGAATAAACCCACTGGCGGCGGACTCCAATCCCTCCAAAACTACGGCGACAGTACTGATGATGAAAGCGAATGATCAATGCACCCTTTTCAAAACTGATGATTGATTGTTTATTGTATCCGCCAGCCTCTACCAACGGGGAAGATAGATCTGCTCACCTGTACTGCGAATCTATCACTAAATAGCTTTGTTCGAACACGAATGTAAGTCTGCAAGGCTTCTGGGTATCCACCTTTCCGGAAATCTTGCTTCTGTGATTACTCTTGTCATAAAAAATTCGTAACAAAGATATATCATCATTCATCACAAACTGTTCTCCTCCATCAACAAACATTACTTGCATGGCGAGCAGCCATTTAACAAATACAACCATTCTTCTACATGAACTTTCAAACATGCTACTCATCATTCATTATATTACATAGAATAGAAATACGGGACTCACGCTTTCACTTCTGTGTCTTCCTTTTCCACAGGTCACCAAACATCTTAATCCCTGAAGAACCCTTTCTCTGCTTCCCGCCACTTCCATATCCTTCATCCATATCATCACCAAATCCAGGCGATCCCACGTAGCCAGCACAATACCCGCCAGCCGGGGTCTCGAACATGCTTCCACCACCACCGAAAGGCTTCTCCATGGAAGCACACCTCTGATCAGAAACAACAAACCTCCCATTCCCGCCTGCGAGCACTGCAGCGGCTGCATCGGCCGCTTTCCTCCACTGCTCCGTCTGAACTCTCATCCTCTTCATCTCACATTCCAACACTTCCTTCCCTTCCTTCACTGCCTCCAGCTGGCACGCCAACTCCGCGGCATTGCCTCTGCTCGCCTCCACCGCTTCCTCCACTCGACTCAACCTCGAACGCATCTCCTCTTCCTTGGCCTTGCCACATTCAATCCTAGAAGCCGCCTCATCAAGCTGCTTTCTCAGCTCTTCCTTCTCCTGATTCGATTCCAACAACTCCCTCTTTCTCTCCTCCAGCTTCGCTCTAAGCTCGTTCATCTCCTCTTCGTGCTTTTTCTTCAGGGCAATGTCTTCTCCAGGGGAGGTAGGATTTGGTGTGTCGCCCTTAATTTCCACCCCAGGAACTTCAAACACGTCGATCTCCTCCCGATCGTTATCCGCCGCTGCCAGCGGCGGGATTGCTCCTTCTTCTTCTCCTCCTCCTCCTGCTACCTCCTCTGGTTCTGGATTGGGCCGGGTTGATTTCTTACTGGACTTGTTCTCGAGCTCCTTCTGGGCTTCATTCTTGGCAGCTTCCGCGGAGGCCAGTTGATGTTTCAGACTCTTGAGCTCTTGCTGAGCTTGTCCCAGTTGTGACTCGAGATCGGCGATTCGTGTGCCGAGCTTCCTCTGCTGCAGTGGTGGATCGGAATTTGGCCCGCCGCGAGGGGAGCGACGGTGGTCGGAGACCTTCGGGCTTCGGTCGGTGGTGGCGCCCCCGGAGTCGGAAGTGGCTGATGTTCTTAGTGGGTGCGGGCCTCGTGACAATTGCCTCTGAGGCATTTCTGAAGACCCCCTACTATTATTGACACAAGCATAAATCCGGCATTAGGCAAGAGGGATCACTCTCCCAATATATAAAACATCATCAAATTCGTTCTAATAAACCATCATTAACATTTTTTCCGGGTTTAACATTGTGATTCTACCATGGTACCAATGGGTCGCGGGTGTGACATCACAATATTACGATTTACTTGTTAGGACGAAATTGGTAATTTTGGTCGTGACATCATAATGATAACAACGAGTTCACACCACTATCTCGGATTACGAATCAAGGGGATGGAGGTTTGCTGACCTTGATCTTGGCATTGGCTCAATCTCTAAAGGAACAAAGATTGAAGGCTAAAAGTCCTCCAAACTGTCTGGAAGAGTGGCTGTGTTAAGTAGCAGATGACTGCACAACCTGGTGGAGGAGATTATGTGTGAAACAGTATCAGAAAAGTGAAAGAAAGTAAACAATCAACACCTAGACAAAAGGATGATTTATCAAAGTCGATCCTAATCAGCTCATTACCATCTAATAAATCAGATTAACCATTTCTTTAAAACTGATTACTGATTTGGTTCCAGCTGCAACATGCTTTACTTTCTAATGTGGTTTTCATTTCTCATTTCCTGATCAAGGACTCAATCATTCAGAAGACAACAATAACTGCTCACTAACATGGATAATCACCTCCAAGGACCCCAACCTAGTTATATCTGTCTACCTAACCATAGACCCACTTTGGCAGTCAGGCAATCACCTCTTTGCCATTAATTTCCTCTATACCTGTACTCCAATAATGATAATAATATGGTGTTCATTTCCCTTTCATTTACTCCTTTGGATCTTCATGTTCTGTACACTTTCCCTTTTTTTCCTTTGGAATGACCATTCTGTTCTGTACTCTGCTCTTTTTTCTTTGTAATGACCAATTCAGTTCTTTCCCAACCTATAGTATATTCCTCCTCAACTATGTCGTAAACCCTCTCAATTTTGCTTGAATTCACCCTCTAGTTCTTCTCCTCCTAGCATCAATTCGTCATCAGGAGATTACAACGAGCTTGATTCCCATATCGAAACTTTCGTAGTTATAAGGACAAATAGGGATATTCATTGAACTTAAATCTACACAATAAATAAAAGCCAAATAAGAAAACTTGAAGCCCCATTTCAAATTTCTTGCATCCGGAGTGAAAGTAGGAAGGACACTTTGGTCTTCACAATTTTTTTTTTTTTATTCATTAAAAAGACACTTACTAGAATTCGCACCATGACCACTTTAAAGAAAATCACAAATCATAACCAATCACACTAAGTACATTTGTTGTATCTTTTTAAATTAAAAACATATAATCGCAGAGAGCAAAAAACCCTTCCCCCATTTCAGTTTTTCTGCTCCATGAGCGTTTGTAGGAAGGGTAGAATAGGGAGTGTCAATTTTTTTCTTTTTCCTCTGTGGAACGGGTCAACTTACCGTACACATGTGGATTTAAACAGGTCCAGGAGTGTCAATTTTTTTCTTTAAGTCCTTTTGTTTCTCCGTGGTGGTAAAATATATATGAAAAGGCAAAAACAATACTCATTTTTATTTCTAAAAAGAAAAAAATTAACAATAAACTAACGCATGGATTCTAATGGGCTAACCGCTAATCATAAAATAAAAGAGTTGAAAGGCCCTAACCTACATGGGATTTGCCCATCCAGTAAAACAAATGAACATCATGGGTTTGTCATTCCAAAACAAGCTATTTTTTCTAGCATAATATATATTATGCTATTAGTTTATATCTTAGTGGCTAAAATATAATGTATTTTAAAGTTATTCAATGGTTCAACCTCGACCAACCTAATTAGTCCAATTTTTATCATTTCAAATATATATTATGTAATTATTTGATATCATAATGATTAAATTATAATGTATATTATAGAGAATCGTTTTGTATGTGTTAGTGAAAAACTAATCAGAAAGATCTATTTGGTTATTTTTAACATTAAAACGATCCTAAACATTTTCAATTTCCTTTCGAAATTCTATAGTTTTATTCCCGAATCAGTGATGTGCAAATGACGAATTGCAGTCATCTCTTTTCTTACATTATTTTTTATTTTCAAATAGAAAGTTTAAAAGTAAAGAATAATTAGAGTTTGGCATGGGTCGGTCAAACAGGCTGAATTTCAAGTTTTGGCCCGTTTTGATCAAGTCTAATTTATAATCACATGGTTCCCTGATACCCGATACAAATCTCAATCCAAACCAGTTTGTAGGGGTGGGCATTGGGTGGGTCGGGTGGATTTTGACCATAAAATGCACCCACCCGCGCTTAAACGGATTGATAATTTTTAACCCACCACCCACCCACATTTAGTCTCGGGTTGGGTCGGGCGGATGGTGGATGATGCGGGTGGGTTTATGGGTTCACCCACATCACAATGCATATAATATAAAGGAGTCAACTTGACATGATAATAGGTGAAGAGAATCATCGAGGGAAACCAGAAGTTGAAATAAGGCGAAAAATGTCGAATTAGTTATTAAATTGGACAAAAATTCTATTATGAAAGAGTTTTCTACATATTGAGACGATTATTAGGTGCAAGTAACTAAGTAAAATAATTCCACAAAGGAAAGAGCGGTGATCTAGGCACAAGAATTAGAGGAAAAAGTAAAGGGAAGAAGAGGGGATCTCTATTTGGAAGGTTGGCTTTGAGGTTCAAACTCCAGGAGCAGTCCGAGTTTATATCTAACGTCTCCACTCTCCTCTCTCTAGCGCCAACGACTTTGATTTTTTTGCTGTTGGATTGAGCGGGTCACCCGCATACTCACCCACAACCCACCCACCACCCGGCGGATGGCTCCCAGCGCAACCCGTCACCCACCCACAGACCCACCCACTTAACGAAATTCGGGTCAAATGCGGGTGGGTCGGCCCAAACCCGCAGATGATCCGCCCGCATGCCCAGCCCTACCAGTTTGGCAGGTGAATCCGTGTTTACCACCATTTTCTAGGGATACAGGAACGGTGGTTCCTATCACAAATCGTATTGTTCATTCTTGATTTCTTTAGATTTTATCATGGCTTGGCAAAAAACTAGAAAGCACAATCATGATAAGATGAAAGTTTTATAAAGCAAATTAATTGGCCAACTGGCCGAGTAAAAGCTAGCAACGATTGTGAGATGCTCTTTTCCCAAAAACCGGCGGGATAGACGATTTTTTATTCAATTTTCTGGAATTCGGTTTCTATAAAACTTACTCCACCTCATCATATTAACAGAAACAATATTGTTTCACAAGGTAACAGATACTTGATTTTGGTTCATAAGGCTGATTTTTGATTCGTTGCATCATTCATGTCTCTTTCCTACTAAAATTCACTATTTTTATCACGCGTTTCAAAAGAACTATACAACAAAAAGCTATACAACCCATTACATTATCAAATTTCATACCTCACCTTCTTCCGGCAAAATGGCCGGGGCCACGCTAGTAGTTTATTATAAGTTTGACAATGGTGACTTGGGTACAAATTCTAAAATTAATTTAGGGAGGATCAAGAATCAAGATGAAGCCAATTTTGGCTCCTCTAGTTTGAAAAACCCAAACAAGAATTTCAAATTCAAATTTTGTTTTTTACCTCCACCCACTTCCCAAAAACAGAAGACCCCGCTCTCTCCCCAATATGTATCGATGGTGGAGCTTCTAGTCTTTAAACATGTTGGTCCATGCCATGCCAAATGTTTTCTTGGGCAGTGAAAAAGAAACTAATTTTAAAAAAAAAAACCCTTTCTTTTCCGTTTCAAAGATATTCCTCCTTCTGTACCCAAACAGTGCCCTTCTCAGAAAAAGTGGCGGTACTGTCTTGATCCCAGCGCAGTCGACAAAAGCTCTGCCACTCCGACAGCTCTCTCGCCTAAGAAACTGCAACCTCACGCGCCGCCGGGAGACACTGACCACCATCTCTCCGCCGCGCTCAGTTTAAAAAAAAAATTACCCGTTCGAAGAAATGCCCAAACAAGGTTCAAAAGCAGAGCTTGCCTCACGGTTCTGTTTTAAGAACACAACACAGTGGAAATGAAGGGAAACCCCTTTCAGATCATTGATTGACTCCCCGGAAAAGAAGACAAATCCCCTTGATTCCCTCTGAACAAAAGACCAAAGATGGGAGTCTTCCATATTCCTACCCGTGTTTAGAGACTCCACCTTTAAGCTCTGCTCTACACAACCTCTGTTATCAACCCCCATTTTTCGTGTTCATTCTTTATTTCCCGAATGCTGAGTAACAGAAAGGAATCAACAACAAACCGGTAAATGGGATCCAGACTTGAATTTCTTAGACTCTCCAAAATCTTGCCTAGTTGAAAATCCATGCTTTTAAGAAAAAATCCATTACATTGTCAACAATTCACTTCCCAAGTTCACCACTTGCAATACATTTTCTCGACAAACCAACAGAGATCATTTAAGCATACAGGATCAAGAACAGATGCAAACATAAAGAAGGAAAGTTAATGAAAGAACTGACCTGCGTTCGTTGTCCACAGAGCACCACCGAGAGAGAGAGAGAGAGAGAGAGAGAGAAGGGGGCAAATGGTTATATGGCTTTTGGAGAGGTCCAACTAGTGGAAGAAGAAGAAGTTAGTGGGCTGGAGAAAGGCTAATATTTTACAGAGGTGGAACTTGGAAGACGACTGGGGTCTCTGGATGTTAATGAGGAGGGAAGGATGAAAGAAAAGAAAGAAGAGAATGAGATTGAATCGTTGAGGCGGTGGGGGAGCCGGGAGGTAATAATAAATACGAATTAATTATATAGTGGGACTGGGGACTAGTGTGGCACGGGTGAACAATTAATTATTGCGAAATTACTTGCGCTCTCAAATCTATAAAGATTGGTATACCTTGGCTTGATTGAAATTGATTACTTCATTTCCAGGTTTCAAGTGATATCATCCACGGCACGGCGGCGGAGAGATGGCGGCCATGTTTATCAGTGGCTTCCGTAGTTGAGTACTTGTAGAGCTGTGGTCTGTGGAGCACTGGATTGACCCGTCATGAAGATTGAAGATACTACATGAAATTGCTTCATAGGTACAAAAACCATTACTCACGGCTGCCGAAACGAAGCCCCGACATGCAAAATTGTATACCTTGATTGACATTATTACGCTCCCGCTCCATCAATAAGGCAGTCACTAGTTATGTTAAAGAACGATGCACAATTAGTAACCCCCTACAATGTCGAGTTATCGACGTCCGAGTTTCAGCAACGAGTTCAGGAAATAAAGTGTCAGCCAAAAACAACACAATGGAACTGAATTGGAATGATTCCATTAGCCTTCGGAATATCTCCCTATCAGACACATTAGTTACACCCTACAGCAATATCAAATGACCGATAAATCTCTTCGACTGACCATCATGGGACTGGCAACTAATTTGTTGCTATACAAATGATACACTGTCTCGGACATTACCAACTCATTAACATGGAATCTACGCATTCTGATTTCTACAAAGAATCAACACTCACAAACCCATCTTTCTTTCCTTTTTTTTCCTTTGTTCAACATCGATGTCGCTGTCCCTATCGTGTTACTTCATAGCATATGTTTGGAGTAGAAGGACGTCTAACACTACACAAGAGGAAGGAATCTCAATCATTATGGGAAAAAACTATCCAAACATACCTTTCCATTCACTAAAGAAGAGAAACAAGCCCCCCTTCTTCTCCCTAACTATATATGGTCACCATGTGATGCAAGCAAGATCTAGAAGAGACCGATCACTACCTCCCTTTTTCTCAGAGTTGTAATTGATGAGCCACAACATACAACCTCGGAAACACTGGGCCCGCCCTCTCTTGTGGGAGATCATTGCCACGTGCTTCCCGTCGTTACAGCTCGAGCCTCTGCAAGCGAAACGGCCATAGCCAGCATCATCTGCTCCTCAAAGCTTTCAGGAAGAATAGGTCCTCCCATCTCATTCAGCAGTGGTGGCGGTGGCGGTGGAGGCGGCAACGGGGATAAGGAAGAGCTTCCACACTCTTCCATTGTCGTATCAGAAGAGCCTGTTGAGTAACTCGTTCCTGCTTCAGCAGCAGCATCCGATCCACGATTCCCGATCCATTCTGCATCGTCCCTCGTCACTACGATTTGGCAATCAGGTGACACATTGCTGGAGCTCTCTGCTGGAGCATAACAATCTGCGTGCTGCTGGCTCATGGCGCTGTAGAAGCTATTGTTACAGCCTGGAAGTACATTATCTGCTGACACGACATTCCCAGGGACCATCTGCTGGCGTTCGGCAAGGGCAGCAATTGCACAAGCAAGACCACCAGAAGGAGATGATGATGACGAAGATGATGACGCAACAACAGGTGGTGGAGCTGAAGCGGTTTGTGACATATAGCACTGAGCCCCATATTGCTCGGACGAAACATCATAGGACAAATTTCTTGGTCGGCCGTTTCCCTGCAATATTATGTTTCACTAATAGAATTAGCACTTTCTCTCTTGAGAGCAATGGCAGCAATAATAATTTAGAAGTTGCAGAAACAGTTGGAAGTACATAAGTAAAGGTAAAGGGGGAAAATATCAAAGAGAAGAAAATGGGAGAACTTCAAGCATAGACATAAACTACTACCCTAAAAGAAAATTAAGTAATCAAGACTTCTCAATACATCAAACTGGAACCAATTATCAGAGTAAATTAGTAGGAACCGCCATTACAAGCAAACGCATCACTCAACCCCCACGGCCACTGCAGAATGAATTCATAGGGACCTAGACAGCTATGGGTGCATAAGAGATTGGCCAAGTGGTATAAGGAATAACAATCTTTTTGTACATCTTAGGTTCAAAGGCAACATTCACCAGGCCCAAAGAGCTAGATTGAACCTACAAACCCTTCTCTATTTTTCCCTTTTCTCCTTTCCTTTCCTTCTCCGAACATCTCCCCAAAGATATACACACACTATCACACCAATATTGTCAGCTAATTCGCTACTCAAGAAATATACGCATTTCCACCAACGACAAGCTAACAAAACCTTTGATGCTGAAAACATTGAGCTCACAACTAAACCTCCTAAGTAGAGGCTACTATAAGTCCATAACTACTTGACGGGAGGTTACTACTTCAGCACATAAGATGCAGCAGTTCACACTTCACTGTTGCAAGACCATAAAAAAGGATGTAAGAACTAAGAACGCATGTAGGATTTTTCACTTCAAGACATTCTGGTGGCTGACAACTAAATGCGTGGCAAATACAAGCAGGCAAACATGTGGCTGGTGAAGCCATCACATTCCATAGCAGAGGGCAGAGTGACAACTGGCTAAGTCAAGGCAATTAGCAACAGATCGACCTAAATGCTTTTGCATGATAAACTACAGTAAAATGGTATTCACGTTTCAAGAACCAGTTTTCCAGTCAGCCTTTTGCACTCATTGTATGCAATCAAGGAATCTAAATCTACCTGAATAGAAAGCCAGATTGCCTCCATGACCATAATATCCTCGAGATCAAGGTCAAAGTCTTCATCCCTTCAATTAGAGAACATTCCAAATTTGAAACAGAATAAATTAGAATAGCTGCTAATACAATCTAAAAGGTATAACGAACATAAAATTCAAATGCCAGTATGTAAAGGACATGTATACCTATGATTCTTAAATAGATACAAGAAATACGCATTTAACCCCTCCACCAGTAAATAGAAGTTGGAAAAACTATCAGTAGAAACACTGCTAACTAAACCAATCCTTTCTACAAGAACCGTTCAAAAGCTTAAGTTTACCATCATCTACAACAACTACTATATGAGTGGCGACACATGAACACATCTAACTCCTAACAGGTGATGTATCTGGTTCACGATGAGGTGCAAATTTCTCAAATAAGCAGCACACTCCAAATGTTCTACACGAGATATAGTAAAAGTAAACCAACTGTCTAGTTCCCATGCCAGAAGTATTTGAAGAACCTGATCAAGCCTGGGAATTTCATAAAAGTAAACCAGATATCTAGTTCAACCAGCCCTAAGAATGATTATTATGGAACTTATGTAGACAACAGGACCAAGCTATTGAATATATTGGACAATTTGCTGTCTACTACCAAACAACATGCTTGAAAACCTACCGGCTAATTCGCCCAATAAACTGAGGCAGCATACAGCAACCAACTAAAGTTATTGACTATGTCCATTTTATAAGCTTGAGGAAGGAAATTCTCATTATGAATCACAACCCTATGGCCCAATCGATTTCGTGAATAAAGCCATAAACAGAAGGAGAAGTCCAACATACCTGTTTGGTCTGGCCAATGCAGGATCTCTGATAGATGGTCGAGAAGAAACAATTTCATCACTTTCGGACGATGCATAGGATGGAACTTCAAAGGAGAAAACTTAAGGCATTCAGTACATGCTGAAAGAAACGGGCATCTAAGTAAAGACATCAATATAGAGTGATGATACCTGCTGCAGAGCCACAATCAACCTCCTCAGATGCAACGTGAGAACTGGAAGAACTTGATTCCAGCCGTTTTTGCATTCTGTCCTCTTCATCCTGAAGCTCTTGTTGTCGAATCCTAATTTTTGCTTCTATTACTCTTTGTTCTTCCTAGAAAATTACATACCTTAGCCACATGCTCGTACATAAATGCAATTGCGATGAAGATATTTAGATAAATATGGTAAAGTCTTACAATTTGCTCCAAGCCCTTCTCCTCTTTTGTTTTCACACCACGATATTCCACAGCATAATTTGATGTTTTACAGAACGGACATCTGCTAGAGTTAAGTACAGCAGGCATAGAAACTATGACTGAAAGATAGGAGAAAGATGTTGGAAGAACAGAAGAAAACAAATACTAGAATCATGCAGAGAAGGATACTGAGTAGGCCGAGTTGAATTAGGATTTTTCATCTGCAGAAAACATTCTGTTGCCAAAAAAGGAAAGGAAAAAATCACAACTACCATAATTGATCACTTGAAACGTTTATACACTTATGGCAATGATCATTACCTGTACAGATCCCCTTTGTGCAACACCGCGACCGGTTGAGGCTTGGGTAGTACTGAAACAAAGCCAAGAACAGTATCACATACATGTCAAGGCTCTTTACAGTATACGTATTAAATAAGACCTCCCAATTCCAAAGCACATTTCTGCATTTCTCCTTAACACCCTAAAGAATAGTAATGAACACCGACCACAAACGGAAGAGCCATAGATGAGCCGAAGGAAGAACAAAGTTAAAAAAGAGAGAGAGAGAGAGAGAGAGAGAGGAACAAACCAAGAAGCAAATAGGGCATTCTTCATGGTCATTGCAGGACTCCTCATCACCAGGATAGCACGGTGCGAGCTTGGACTCGAGAATGAGCTTTCTGAGCTTCTTATGGTCTACGTCTTTGTGGACATATAAACCTTGTGGCTTTGTATACCTCTCATCCACCACTTGCCTCCTCCTTCCCAACTTATTACCCATTCAGCAACACCTATACCTATCTGTGCTCTCCTTTTTCTTTCGCGATGAGAGCAAGATGAATGGAATAATTGAAGAGCAAATTTAGAATAGAAGAATTCCACCAACGTATTATCTCTAAATCGCTAAACCATGGCGACGGCCTAACGAGCCAATACTACTATAACCACCAGAGCAGATGCTTCCTTTGAGACTGCCAAAGCAGGAATCCATAGTTTCTTACCAACGGTCCTGCAAGCAAAGAATCCAGCCGCAAGAAGAAATTTAAGAAACAATCCAGTCCATAGAAGAGAAAGCCCTAACAACAGTAGTAGGAGACCATGCGGCACAAAAATACCAACTCATTCACACTTTGGGGGAAAAAATAGTTTCGAATTCCGGCGGCAGATGGAGATCACTATACCGTCCACAGATTTCACAATTCCCCAAACCAGCAAGAAAAATTCCACCACACTCTAGAACTGTAACCGGCAAACAGAAACCGAAAACCAATTGCAGCAGGAGCGAAGAACGGAAAAGCAGAAGGGAGAATGGCTACTACTAGTACTCCGAATAAAAATGAACGAAAGAATCGCAGCAGGCAATAAGCAACGTCGACGAAGAGCTTCACGCCATGAGAACTCTCGAAGCGTAAAAGGAGAAAAGAGAGAGCCGCTGCAAGCAAGAGCGTGAGCGAGAAAGAGAGGGGAAAGAACCTGAATCGCGGAAATCCCGCAGCAATTGGAGAGAGCGAGGAGAAGAGGAAGAGAGGCTAGTTAAGCTTCTTTGTTCCCTCCCTGGTATGAAATGGAGATCGAGACGAGGAAGAAGGAGGGAAGAACTTTTGTGGATTTCGTGGCGGTGAGAGAGAGAAAGGACAAAAGTCGGGACGGAGATTGAGTGAGAGGAGAAAGAAAGAAAGAAAAGAAGGATGGAGAGTTCATCTTTTAATTTTTCCTTATGTTTTTAACATTTTTTAATTAATTTGCTCGTTCTCTGTATTATTTCATTATTATTGATATATTATTGTCGCTTAGCTTATAGTAGGGAAAAGGATTGTAATGTAATCAAGTTTACGCACCCGTGTCCGTGTGTATGAGAATTAAAAAAAAATTAAGTAAATTTTGAGGAGAGTTAGGTCAGGCAGTTTGCTTTTATTTTCAATTGTCATTTGTAAGGTATGAGATCAAACGCGAAGTGCAGCAATTCAGAATTTTGCGTGATAAACAATGACCATAATGATAATAATTTTGCAATTAAGGAATTCATTCCTGGGCTGGGCGCGGGAGAGGAATGACGTGGAGAAGCAACAATCAAAGCTGGGCACGAAACGAAATGAAACGGTGGAGTACTCCGCCGGGAAAGAATCATTTTGGCCTGCCTGCCCTCCACCGGAAAGGCATCCAATCCAATCATGTGGGCCCCTCTCCGGCCTCCCTCCCCTCTTTTCACGGCTGGCTTTCCTACTGTTGCCCATACTGACTTGGGATCAGCCGGATCCTACAATTTCGAATAAGAACATTATGAAATTTATCAACTTAAAGTGTCAGAAATTATGTTGAAAACGAGTTGTATTAGTGGCGATCAAATCTTTTTCACGTCACAAATGATTGTATTAGAAATGATTGAGTATTAATATTAAACAAAATTGCATTATATTCTATTTGATCTATCGAAAATTAAATTGACGAGAAACGATATAACATGAAAAAGCATCTAGATATCCACAATCATAATAAATATAAATACTAAAAAACATGGCAGGTGGGGGGACTTGGACTTTGGTGCTAATTGTTTCATTGAATATGACTTTGGGCGGGGCTATCATTAGATACGGCCATTTTCTTTGGCCGACTACTTCTCAGCGGCCACAACATTCAATTGGGGCTTTGGTGAGATCGGTCGGTAAAGGCCGCATTAGTTCAGCTGAAAGGCAATTAAAAAAATAAAAACTAGCGACCATTATCTTAAATTGTCTTTATGCCACTGAACTGAACGCAATTTATACTGGGCTTCAGATAAGATTAAACAAATACTTAGTATTACTATACTGTGATCAGAGAGTGACATCGAACTTTATGTCAGCTATCAAATTAACGAGCAAAGATTGATGGCCACATGAAAAGAAAATTACAAAAGTGTGATGATGGATTGGATATACAGATTCAGGCCCTGTTTTACTGTGCTTTGGTATAAGGATTCGGCCCGTCATCTTTAACGGCCTGGAGTATTTTTGGGATGCTCTTCAAGTTCTTAGCCCAAGTTAGAGAGTTTCTTGGGCTTAGTTCTTCTGACAATTTTGTTCGAAACGGACTTGTGAGTGACAACAACTACAATCTCACCCGAGGCGCCGGCGCTCTGTTCTTCTACCCGCCGGTCCTTCCCCGACCGAATCAAGTCATCCTTAGCGGGCTCGCCGGAGAATAGCAATCCGGACAACTTTCTCTCTTCCGCCGGAAACTCCATTTTGTCTCCACACTCACATGCTCATTCGGCTCCCGTCGCATTGGTTAATTAACTTGCGCTTCCATTGATCCTAGCAGTCCAAAGGACAATATCTCTTGTAGGACTACTCTCATTAATGACCTTATAAGTACGTCCAGGGACCAGGATGAAGCTATTTTTGGACATTTATTTTACACGGCGTTGTTTTATTTATTTTGGTTGAGGGATACTACGGGTAAAGGGATACAACAGCGAGCGCCGGAAGCTGTAGAATACAAACGTGTGTAACAGGATAAACGGCTAGCAGGCTAGGCTGTAGTCCGGTGATAGGGTATGGGAATGAGATACAAAGGATTCTTTCTTCTCACGGTAGCGCCAAACGTTTCAGACATGTCCAAACCTTCAGGCTCGATTCCATCCGGGAGCTTCCAGTCGAAATGGTACAGCAAATTTGCCAGCAAAAGGTCGATAACCGCCAACCCGTATTGTATGCCAGGGCAGATTCTCCGTCCAGCTCCGAATGGGATGAATTGGAAATCCAACCCCATGAATTCGACCGAGCTATCTGCAAACCTTTCAGGGTTGAATTTCTCTGGTTCGTCCCAGTGATGCGGGTCTTGACCAATTGCCCAAGCATTGATAATGACCCTGGTTTTTGCCGGGATTAGGTGTCCATGAATCACAACCGCTTCTTGAGCTTCTCTCGGAAGCAGTAAAGGAGCAGCAGGATGCAGTCTGAATGTTTCTTTGACAACCGATTTGAGATACACAAGTTCGTCAACTCCTTCTTCATCCACTTTACCCGTCTTGTCAAATACTTGCCTCACCTCCTTTTGTGCTTTTTCCATAGTATGAGGATTATTCATCAGTTGGGACATTGCCCATTCTACAGTCACGGAAGAAGAGTCGCTCCCAGCCAGAAATATGTCCTACATCCATCATCACATTGGTCACATATATATGCGGTGCATTTACAAAAATGAATGCATATTTTGATGAAAGAAATGGAGTTGTTGTGTTCGCAGTACAACTTTACCAGAATGACAGCTTTGACCTCAACGTTGGTGAAAGGGAAGGGAAGCCCTTGATTCTCCACAAAATTCAAAAGCACGTCCACAAGATCTTCTTCTTGGTGATCCTCCTCCCTCCTTCTGGCCACGTGCTCTGCTATGATCCCTTCAAGGATTCCGTCGGCTGTCTCATGCAGCGTTTTGAGCTTTCTTTCCAATCCGCTCACCAGACGCACGAACTTGCTCGATGGAAAGATGTCGGCGAGGCCCAACCCTCCGGCGGCCTTCAAGATCTGCTGCAGGACCGGTAAGATTGCCTCATCCTGCTTCCGCAACATCTTCCCGCCGAATGCCGCCCTCAACGTGACGGCGTTCGACAAACTGATGAGCATCTGGCTCAGGTTCACAGCAGCCGCCGGACGCATTGTTAAACTACTTGTATTCTGTGAATGTTAAGAATCAAGAAAACAATTCTCATGACACAAGAAAATAGAAGGGTTAATATATTTACATGGTCGAACTTTTCACATACTTAACATTCTGATCAATTTTTTCGATTTATAACTTTGTTACCTCAATTATGCATTAAAGTTCCGAATCTGGTGAAACTCAAGATTTGACCTTTATTTTGCACGGTCAAACATATTGACTATTGGTCAACGCGCCACATCACTATCAATCATTATAGACCACACTTAAAAAATTTGGTTTTTTCCACTTCAAAAGAGATTTTGAATTTCTTTTGCTTTTTTTTCTTCTTTTAATTTGTTCAAAATAAAAATAAAAAGATAAATGACAATAGGTGAAAAAATCAAAAATTGTAATTGATGTGTGCTGACTTGACAATGACATGGCGTGTTGATCGTTAATCAACGTATTTGACCGTTCAAGATAACGATCATAATATTGGATTTGGTCAATGCAGTAGCTGGACAAGTGAAAAGGGAAAAGATTTTCACATGCGCACCACTTCGGATGATTGTATTTTTATCTGTTTCGTGTTAATTCCAACTTTTAAATTTTTTTTGGTTTAGCAATATAATGTTTATTATTTTCACAACGTGACACGGTGTTTATTTTGGGGAAAAGGAGACACATAAACTCATAAATTATTTTTCATTTTGAAAGCCTATAAAAAAGTGGTTAAGTATCATATCTGAACCTCTCAAATAAAGCCATAATGGATTTATCAATTTAATCACTGATTTTCGAGAATCTCTCAAATAACGTCGAACAATGATAACTAATATATATATATATATATATATATACACGCACCTGAGGATCAAGTTTTGCCGGCGGTTCTGTAATCGAAGCTACCAGCCGGGCGATCTCCTCTTCTCTAACCCGACGCAGCGACTTGACGCGCTTGGCGCTGAGCAGCTGGAGGGCGCAGATCTTTCGCATCTGCTTCCAGTAGTCGCCGTAGGCCACGTAGCCGATGTCCCGGGAGTTGTAGAAGATGATGTCGGCGGACGGGAGGAAGGGCCTGGAGGCGAAGTTGAGGTCGTGGGCCTTGAGGAACTCGTGGGCCAGTTCCGGCGAGGACACCACTGTGAAATCTTGAAAGAGGATGGAAATTGGGTGAAACCCGTTAGGGTTTTTGGTGCCTCAAGGGCCTGTATATATACTCAAAGGAAACCAGGCTGTACATTCTCTAATTACAATTTAACGGTAACTAACGAAAAATCAAAACTATAGCCTATCTAATATTGACACCTGTCTATCTACAGTAATAATGGAAGTGGCCGTTGCTTAATGAAACGACGACGTCTTGGCTCAGCTCCTCCATTGCTTCTGAGGAAAACGACTTCGTTTAACACAAGCTCTCAGCAACGGTCCTCTGTTCGACATCCCTTCTTCTTCTTCCTGTATTCTTCAATCTTCGAGTTCAGTTCTGCAAATCCAAGCATTCATATCGTGATAGCCTCCCTCAAGCTGACGCATACAGATTGTGTATGTTCAGCTTGGACATCAAAAACTGAAGTCGATACCTGCTAAGTCCCTTTGTAAATAAATCCGCAATCTGATTCTCTGTATCTAGGTGACTTAAGCTGATAAGTTTAGATTGAAGAAATTGTCGAACAATGTGACAATCAATCTCTATATGTTTGGTCCTCTCATGATAGACAGGATTCTCCGCAATGTAAATCGCAGATCGATTGTCACAGAAGAGCTGAACAGGTTGTGGATGATCAATGCTTAGTTCCTGTATCAGCCTCTTAACCCAAACAATCTCGCATGTAAGCTGAGCAAGAGCTCTATACTCAGCCTCGGAAGATGATCTGGAAACAGTGCTTTGTTTCTTAGATTTCCAAATAATCAAGGAATTCCCAAAAGTGATGCAATACCCTGTCGTGGATCGCCTTGTGTCTGGACAGGATGCCCAATCTGAATCACAGAATCCTTGTAAAAGAAGGTTTGACTGAGCTGGATAGAATAAACCTTGTCCAGGTTCATTTTTCAGGTACTTAAGGACTCTGTGTGCAAGTTGGAGATGAGAAGCAGTTGGGGCAGCCTGATGTTGGCAAAGTTGCTGAACAGCAAAGGTAATCTCAGGACGAGTTATGGTGAGATAATGAAGTCTCCCAATAATCTTCCTGTATAGAGAAGCATCCTCAAGTAAAGGACCATCATCTGCAGTCAAATATGTCTTCATATCAATTGGTGTAACAACTGGTTTGCTGTCTGCAAAGCCAGTATCATTTAGAAGGTCAGTGCAATACTTGCGTTGACATATGTGTAAACCCTCCCTTGATCTGGCAATCTCTAGGCCAAGAAAGTAATGAAGATTGCCAAGATCACGAATTTTAAATTGAGACTGGAGGAAAGACTTCAAATCTGCCATGCCTTGCACATCATTTCCAGCAATAATTATGTCATCGACATAGACTAAAAGAGCAGAAGTGCCCTGAACACCATGATGAATGAAGAGGGAATAGTCACTGGCTGACTGAGTATAACCAAAACTTATCAATGCAGCAGTTAACTTTGAAAACCACTGACGAGAAGCTTGCTTCAAACCATACAAGGACTTCCTTAGTCTGCAAACTTGTCCTGTCTGTGAAAAACCAGGAGGTAAGTCCATGTATACTTCTTCCTCTAAATCTCCATGCAAGAATGCATTACTCACATCAAGTTGGTACATAGACCAGTCTTTAGCTACTGCAATGGCCAGGAGGGTTTTAACTGTATTCAATTTGGCTACAGGTGAGTAAGTATCAAGGAAATCCACTCCATATATCTGTGTAAAGCCCTTGGCTACTAGCCTGGCTTTATACCTTTCAACTGAACCATCAGGATTGTACTTAATTGTGAACACCCACCTGCATCCAATTGGCCTCTTCCCAGTAGGACAATAAACTACATCCCAAGTTCCATTAGCTACAAGAGCCCTGATCTCTTCATTCATTGCATTTCTCCATCTTTCATCCTGCATAGCCTCTTCAAAAGACTGTGGCAACAAAGCAGAATCCACAGCACATACATACTTCCTATATTCCACAGATAATTTATCATATGAAATGTAAGCAACCAATGGATAAGTGTGTTTGTCAGTGTTGGCCTTAAGATGTAATACATAATCCTGGTATTTAACAGGAGGTCCAGCATGTCTTGGTTCCTTTCTAAGGGCAATAGGTAGTGACTGAGGAGTAGGGGAAGATGTTGGCTGTGGTGAAGGAGATGAAGTAGGAGAAGGAGATGAAATGTGAGGAATTGGTGGAGTGGAAGATTGTAAAGGGGATAAAGGTTCTTGGATATTTTCTGAATCCTGTGGAACAAAGGGGAAAACAGGATCATTTGTGGGAATAGAAGAAAAGTTTTGTAAAGGGTGAGAAGAAGTAGAGTTTTCTGCATCAGGATTGGCAGAAGGAATGGGTAAGCAAGGAATGATGTGCTCATGGAATAGTACATGCCTAGAAAAGAATACTTTCTGGTCTGTCAGGTCATAGAGTCTATAACCTTTAATGCCAGGAGGGTATCCTAGGAATACACAAGGTTTGGCTCGGGGAGAAAACTTTGTCCTGTTATGTGCAAGAGTGCTAGCATAACATAGGCAACCAAAGACTTTGAGGTCTGATAGATCAGGTGGTGTGCCATACAACAACTCATAGGGTGTTTTGTTCTTTAGAGCTACTGTAGGCAACCTATTGATGAGAAAGACTGCATGAAGAACACAGTCTGACCAGAATTTTAGAGGTAAACCAGATTGGAATTTTAGAGCTCTAGCAACATTTAAGATGTGTTGATGTTTCCTCTCTACTCTGGCATTTTGCTGTGGTGTCTCAACACATGACATTTGGTGTATAATGCCATGTTGTGAGTAGAATTCTGGCATGTGAAATTCAGCTCCCTGATCTGATCTAATAATTTTAATGTGTTTGTTGAACTGTGTATTGGCAAGAACACAGAAACTTTGCAGGTAAATTATCACGATATGAATGCTTGGATTTGGAGCTGAAATCGTTCCATTAATAAAACCCAGCTTGTTTTTGCTTTTGAGAGCAACGCGAACAGTCCTGCTCCATAGATTGTAGTTTGACGTCCCTGTGAGCTTGATTGGAAACACCAGAGACTCGTTTGGGTTGATATAATAGGGGTTGGTAACGGTGTTTGCAGCAGTAAGAGCACCAGTGGTGGTAGAAGTAGAAGAAGAAGAAACAGAGGAAGAATTTGTAGCCATTGTAACCAAATGCTACTTAGAATCAAAGGTATGGAAATGGTGTAGGCACAGAAACCCTAGAGACCTGAACCAGGCTCTGATACCATGTGAAATCTTGAAAGAGGATGGAAATTGGGTGAAACCCGTTAGGGTTTTTGGTGCCTCAAGGGCCTGTATATATACTCAAAGGAAACCAGGCTGTACATTCTCTAATTACAATTTAACGGTAACTAACGAAAAATCAAAACTATAGCCTATCTAATATTGACACCTGTCTATCTACAGTAATAATGGAAGTGGCCGTTGCTTAATGAAACGACGACGTCTTGGCTCAGCTCCTCCATTGCTTCTGAGGAAAACGACTTCGTTTAACACAAGCTCTCAGCAACGGTCCTCTGTTCGACATCCCTTCTTCTTCTTCCTGTATTCTTCAATCTTCGAGTTCAGTTCTGCAAATCCAAGCATTCATATCGTTGGAGGTCTCCCCGAGCTGTAGATGCATGAGCGGGCCGTGCTGCTGGGCCAGCTCCCTCAGCCGGCGGTGCGGCAGTCCAGTGTTGAGCTGGTGCAAGTTGCCGATTACGGGCAGCTTCCATGGTCCCGGAGGCAGATGTGGTGCCTTGACGACGTCGCCGAAGCTGAACCTTAATTTTATGAACACAACCATAGTTGCGATCAGGATTAAGAAGATGGTGATGAGAAGCTGGAGAGCAGATAATATTTCATGGTGCATTCTCGTTTTTGGGGTTATGCTATTTTTTTTTTTTTTTTTTTTTTTGGGGTCCTTCGGGTACTTTCAACTCTCGCCATACATTGCAGTCTATATATAGAAACACACATATGGAAACGATGAGTGGCCAAACGATGAGTTGAAAATAGGTGTGTTATTTTTTTTGAAATATTTTTGCGATTGGCAATTTTAATAAACGAGACTTAGTAGAGTGACAAAGTTTCTTTATGTCATATTAATTTGGTGGGTTTGATACATTCAATGAGCAAATATAAGAATTTATTATTTTAGTTATAAAAAATTATAGGGTTAATACCTTATTATAGTCCGAACTATACCTAAATAATCAACTTTGAACAGTGGTTTAAAAACTTCTATCATGGCCTCAACTTCTATCTAGCACAAAAATCAAGAAAATTGACGTACCAATACTTGCATCAAATTGATGAAATTCAACTTGGTTTCCACTTTCATGATAATGCTATTGTAATAGAAGAGTAAGGGTTAAAATTATTCCTGATCAAATTATTCATCTAGTTTTCATTTGGTTTTGGATCAAACAAGAAACCAAACAAATATTTTGATTTATTATAGTTGACCATGTTCCGTTGCAGCGTAAGATCGGCTGAGAGTGGAAAATAAACTGTAGATGCCTAATAATTATCACAATCAAGCATAAACAAGTGCCTGCCGCTGCTGCCTGGCTCATAAAAATGAAAGTCGACTTAATTATATGGGGTTTGAAATGTGCATCGGTTCGGATACCCCAAGTTTAACAGAATATATTGGTTAATTAGTGACAATGATAACATGATAATATATCACAATGTTCACTTGTGTTTATGTATCGTAGGACAATCGCTGTCGTGGAGGGGTGTTTGTTTGGATTGTTGTGTATGGAGGTTACTAATTAAGGGAAGGAAGGAGTGTATGTCATTTTGCGTTGCCCCTTATATTAGCTTCGCTGTGTGTGTGTGATGTTCATTTGGCATTTGGACGGGTTCTTGTTGGGGCCTTGGGCGGTAATGCGGCCTCCATCATTATCCCTTTTTTCTTGTTTAATTTCTTTTCCCATATGTTCTGGTCTGGGTAGCTCTTTAATTAATTCGGCCTCTTCATTGTACTAGTTTCTTTCTTGTATACACCGCTGGTATATTTTTGTTGCAATTTGCTAATAAAATTCCACCATTATAGGAGAAGAAGAAAAAAAAAAACAAATCAACCTTCCGGCCACCACTGGGGTTATTTGGCGAGTTTGGACAAAAATAAAATTACTCACGAACAATGCTGTTAGGAGAACAATTCCAGAATGAGAGAAGAAAAGAAGCGGAAGAAGAATCAAACAATGCGATCATATGATATGAGGGTCCTTATATTGGGCCTCACCACCATTGGCCCGTCTGGCCGTCCACCTATGGATACTATTCAAGCACGTGAAAGAATAGAAATCGTATCTTCCAAAGTAGTTAACACACCATCAAAACATCTGAATAAATCTCCGATAATCAACTGCAAACAGAAATTATCGTTCAGTTTTCGGATAAAAATCTAAAACCCCGGCCCTTGTAATTATCTTCTCCCAAAATAAAATATTCAAAACAGAAACCCTTTCATATTTCCTCCCTTTTCCCGCACCGCCGTTACAATATATATTCTAATCAAAGTAAACCTCTAGAAGAGAAACCCCAAGAGATCATTCGAGTGTCTTTCCAAAAAAAAATCATTCGAGTGAGTGACACACAAGAAAATATGGAAGGGAAAGTGTTGAGATTTGCCACCATTGTTTCTCTCTTGCTTTTGGTCGCCTTGGTTGGCGCCACCATTGCCAACGCCTATTCGAACGCCAAGGTGTTCGATGTCCGTCGCTACGGAGCAAAGCCCGACGGCAAGTCCGATTCCAGCGAGGTTAGTACCTAGTAACATAATTAGGTTGTTTCTGGTATGCTTTCGTAGTACTGTTCGTCCTTTTCTGAGGGTTTTTGTTTTAAAACTTGTTACTAGGCATTTTTGGCGGCTTGGAACGACGCTTGTAAATATGAAGGGAAGGCGAGGGTGGTGGTGCCGCCAGGGGAGTTCGTAACGGACGCAATCATGTTCTTGGGTCCTTGCAAAGGATCGATGGGGTTTATAATGAAAGGACGGTTGTCGCCTCCCGATAGGCTCAGCGACCCCGCTAAGTGGATCACCTTCCGGTACGTTAACGGGCTGATGGTTTCCGGCCACGGCACCTTCGACGGCAGGAGTTACGCCGATCCCTCTCCCAAACCTTCGGCCATGGTAATTAGTACACTACTACTCAACTTCCTTCTCCTCTCCCCCCTTTTTTCGTCCTCTTAGAAAGTGGCTTTTACCTTGCATGGTCAATTTCATCAGGATATTATGGGCGGCTAATTGATACATATCTTCTACTAAAAATGCTACTCCAATTACCATACTCACTCTTCAATTTCAAAATTGCGATTTCTCTAAAACGAGTAATTACATATTTCAATTTTTTTTTCTATCCACAAAATCATATTAACCTTAGTGATTGGTGGAGAAAGGAAGATAAAAGGTCAAATATTTTGTAGCGATTTTAATGCTTCTTAATAATTATTTTGTTATACGGCTTTGAAAATATGATATTTCTTTGCGAACTTTAATACGACATGTGCTTTGATGTGTAGTCACACGCATATATAATGTCATTGTATCAATCATATTCAATGGTAATTTTAATTACTTTAATGCGTGCAGTCGTTGCGGTTCGATTTCATAAACGACGGCGTGATCAGCCACATCCGCTCGGTGAACAGCCGTAACGCGCACATGCAGATCTACGGGTGCAACAAGATCCGTATGCACAACATCCTCATCAAGGCCCCCGGCAACAGCAAAAACACCGACGGGATCAAGATCGGGGCGTCGACCGACGTCCACGTCACCAACTCGGTCATCGGGACCGGCGACGACTGCATCGCCATCCTGGGGAAGAGCTCCGACATCCACGTGTCGCAGGTCTTCTGCGGGCCCGGCCACGGCATCAGCATCGGGAGCATGGGCTACTACCCGAACAACGAGAACAACGACGTCGTCACGGGCGTCACGGTGACGGACTGCACCTTCCGTGGCACGACCGACGGTGTCAGGATCAAGACGTGGGCCACGCCCTACGCCGGCCTGGTCCAGAATCTGACCTTCAGTAATATCCATCTCGACAGCGTGGATAATCCCATTATTATTGATCAGGAGTACTGCCCTAAACCTCCGTGCAATCAGGTAAAATTTGCAATCTAGTGCCCTATTTTTTTATTTATTTCGTTTTATATTCATTGAATCGAGATTTCGATTATAAGAAAGTATCGCTATCTCGTAATCATGTGTTGTATTGTTGTTGATGTTGGTATATGCTTAGGTGCCATCACATATTCGAATCGAGGATGTGACGTACGACAACGTATGGGGGACGTCGAGGTCGGCGGTGGCAGTGAAGTTGAACTGCAGCAAGATGTACGGGTGCAAGGGGTTGGTGTTGAAGGACATAAACATGATTCAGAAGAATGGACTCGACGCTACTTCGTTTTGCTCCAATGCCGTCGGCGCCACTCACGGCGTGCAAAAACCGTCGCCTTGCTTGTAGCTTTGTAGGGCAGGCCGCCATGTTTATTATTTTTATTATTTTTTTCTTGGCCAATTGGGTGCCACAATTAGGAACGGATCAAGCAGTGATTAGAGAGGATTAGCTACTAGAAATAAAGACGGCGGGAATTAAGTGGTGGTAATGCAGTAATGCAGCCACCCTTCGAAGCCGGGTCGTTATTATGTTAAGGAATCGGAGGTTAGAGTAGAGAGTCTAGATAGTCATGGTTTGAGTAATTATGTTAGCCTTTGGGAGGAACTATGTAGGCATTGTCACAATTGTTGATTTGGGTTTATGGAAATGTCCATTTGTTTACTTCAGTTCAGAGTTGGGATCAAACCATTTAGAGGTTCGTATCTACCATTTAGATTGATAGGGTTGTGGTAATTTATTGCCCAATGTAAACAACCATGAAGAACCCCTTCTGCCTTTATCGTTATCTCTAGTTTAATGCACCAAGTTTTTTTTATCTCTAGTTTAAATGGCGGTTTGAATGGATCAATTAAAAAATGAGACAATTTAGCCAATTTTCTCGTTTGGATTAGAATTATCTGCCCCACCGCAGACAATTGTAATTGTTTCAAAAAGCTTTCGATAATGAAGTGGTGGAGAGCAGGAGAAAGAGCAGAAAACCTGGTATCATGTTCAAGCTCGATATCGAAAAAGCTTTCGATAATGTAAATTGGGGGTGCCTCTTGAAGATTATGGAGATGATGGGTTTCCCGGAACGGTGGACGAGATGGGTTAAAGGCTCGATGTTCGATTACAATGTGTCTATTCTTATTAACGGAGAAGCTAATGGGTTCTTTCCGGTCTCGAAAGGTCTTCGCCAAGGGGACCCTATATCCCCAGGTCTGTTCGTGATGGTGATGGATGTGCTTTCTTTGATGCTGGAAAAAGTGAGAGCTAGGGGAAGTGACGCACCTGCTTTATGCTGATGATACCCTAATATTCTGCGACGCAAAACACGATCAGGTTCTGAACATTCTGGCCACTCTAGTGTTGTTTCAAACCGTGACTGGGCTGCGTATTAACTTGGAGAAATCAGTAATGTACACGGTAGGTGACGTTGCTGAACCGAGCTACTTTGCTGCCATTTTCGGGTGCAAATGGAGTAGTGATGTTCCGAAATATCTCGGATACCCTCTTGGCGCGAAACCGAATGACAGCTCGATTTGGGATGGAATCGTTGAAAAATATCAAAACAGACTTAGTGGCTGGGGAAGTAGGAATATGTCTTGCGGTGCGAGACTTGTTCTCATCAATGCGGTCCTCACTGGTTCCCCAACTTACTTGTTTTCTCTTTTCAAGGCCCCAAAGTCTGTTATTAAGGATCTAGAAAGGTACCAAAGAAGATTTCTTTGGAGCGGGAAATCGGAGGGTAATAAGCCAGCCTTGATGGATTGGGAGGTCTGCAAAGCGCCGGTCAAGAAGGGAGGTCTGGGCATTCACGATTTAGAGCTATTCAATGATGCTATGCTGACAAAATGGTTATGGAGATTTGCTACGGAGAGAGACAGCTGGTGGCGGGGGTTGATTAATTGCAAATTTCCGAATGAGTTGTCTTGTTGGCAGACTAAGAGAGAAAGAAGGGGTTTCTCCAAGTCGGTTTGGGCTAATATCAGCAAAGAATATGATTTGTTTTGGCATTCTGCTGTGATTGATCCGGGGAATGGAACTCAAGTCTCCTTCTGGTACGATTGTTGGATCCCGGGGATTGTGCTGGCTGCTTCGTTTCCTCGGGTCGCTGCTGCCGTTCTTGACCCGGAAGCTCTCCTCTCTGACACTGCAAATACCCAGGGTGAGTTGGTGAGTTGGAACTTTAATTTTAAATATATCTTGAGGGGTGGGGCAGCGAGGGAGAGGGATAATCTCATGAATCTCTTAAACTCTGTAAATTTTGCGTCTTCTTCTTATAGCCCGTGCAGGATCATTTGGAATTTGGAGGCAAATTCAAAGTTCTCTGTGAGATCTTTATATAGGGAATTCGCTGGCATGTACTTAAGAGAGATCGATGATTTCCCAGCAGAGAATGTTTGGATTTCCTGGATTCCGAGTAAAATCTGCTTCTTCATATGGCTTGTTTACCATAATAGAGTGCTTACCCTTGATAATTTAAAGAAAAGAGGTTTGTTTCTGGCCAACATTTGTGTGCTGTGCAAGAATGATGAGGAGTCTACCCAGCACATGCTCGTGGAGTGCGATTTCGTTAGGAGGATCTGGAACTTGATGTACAGCAGGAGGAACAGGACACCTAGATGGATCGGCGAGATCGTTCAAATAATAGCAAGCTGGGATAGTGCCGATGGAGACGATATCGAGAAGTGTTTTGATGCTTGTATTTTACACTCTATTTGGTGGGCTGTTTGGCTCGAGAGGAATCAGAGGACTTTCGAGGACAAAGCAACATGCTCGGAAGCGGTGGGGATAAAGGCGGCTAGGAAGGCAATGGAATGGATCGTGGTTAACGGAAAGGTGCAGAAATCAGAGGGAAGGAGATGGCTGATCGAGAAGGGTTTAGCGTATTAACCGATCAGAGAGTTGCTTGTGGATCTTGGTTTTCCGAGTGTCTCTTTTGTTGTTTCAGGGGAGTGCACTAATCTTTGGGGGCGCTGGCTGTTTCCTGGAAGCTGCTCGTCCTTCTGCTCGTCCTTCTCTGCTTGGTGGCATGGCGTGGAAGCAGCGAGGGGTGGCTTCCCTCTTCCGGAGGCAGAGCGAAGGGGGCTCGATAGGCCGGGCAAAGGGGTTTTGGTTTCAGATCGAGCAGGAAGTTTGTTTCCTGCTGGGGGTCTTTGTTGACCTTTTGGGCCTCTGTTCTGCGCCTCTGTCTCCTCTTCTCTTCCCGTTTCGGTTTTTTTTTCTGTATTTTTTGTCTCTTTTCAGGATCATTCCTCTTGATCCTGGTTTCTTCGTGTGTACAGTTTATTTTCTTTGATTAATAAAATTTCACCATTATCAAAAAAAAAAAAAAAAATTCCTCAACCAAAATTACTTCATCTAACTAATTCATCCATTAGAACTTCTTATCTAAACGATCTCTAAGGCTCCAAGCTGGCAACCTCGTCCCCTACCCCGATCCCCTCTAGATTTATAGTTGTGTAGTATTTGTGTAAAGCTGGGTTGGGCCGGGCCTCGCTCAATGGGCTTATCAACACAAACCCAAATAACTAATGGCATGAAGGGTTCGGCTCCCTGTTTTGTTTATTTCACGAAGGAAATTTCCAACTCAAATTAAATAATCAAATGTGTTTAATGTGATTTGAGGATAAATTTTTTAGATGATCGGTCATCCTTTACAATTTGTTCCGAATCTTATCCAACTTGCAAATAAATGAATAATATAGTGGTCTTTTCTGAAAATTTAGGTCTTTCATTTGCTCGTTTTGTACTATTTTATCATATTGTTGCCATCTAATTCTATATCAGATTTTCCTATACTTTACTAACATTTCTCATGTTTTGAGATATTTTATACTATATTTGAGCTCAAATATAACTGTAATTGTGCACAAGTTTATCTCTCAAACAATGTCTTTTTTTTCCATCAGTCATCACATCTCCGATATATCACTCAACTCGTTGCACATGTTTGTTCATATTACATAATAGAACTAATGCCCCACCACCACCACCACCACCCAAAGGAAACTTGCACACATGGGTCGCCTGCCATGCAATTCCAACATGGCAGTGTCACAACACATTTTCCCTTCAATTTTTTGCTATAAATGTTGACACACACTACTTTGAGCTTGTCGTTGCGGTTTCTTGGCATTATGTATGCAACAAAAACCCCATTTGTCTCCTTACGGAATCGGCCGTGTCCCTCTCGAATGTATCTAGCTTGGACAAATGGATTTGAACTTCTTAAAGATGAGCAACCCCATGAAAGGTGGGAGAAAAGAACTCAGAAGAACGACCAAAAGGGGAAGTAAGTGGACTATGATTTTTTGTTCTACATGGAAAGCCAAATCACACACCACAAATACATAGGGAAGTTGGAAATTTGGATCGATATTGTTGTGGGCCTTGTTAGTTTTCCACCATTGGAACAAACACCTTCCTGTGAAACTTCCCCAGCTATGACGAAGTGCTCTCTGTTGAGGATCTAGAAGAAAGAATGGACGATTATCTTAATTGGTAATATAATCTCATTCACGTTAGGTAAAGGAGCTTCAATAGAATCCCATTTGATCTTCCTTTTACATATATTTAAGTCAATCCAAGTCTTATTCTTGTAATATTTTAGGATTTTCTGTTCCCATTTATAACTTATCATGAATTGTAAAAGGGGTGAGTATGATATATTCAATAAGAAGCTAATACTTGTCTTTTGGGGGTGGCACTCTGTATTGATATATTTCGTTCCTACTCTAGAGAAATGGGATAAGATTTCTTATAGGACTTTTCTTAATAGTAGTACGAGTTAACTAATTTAGCATTTGATTTAGAAGTCTGTTGTTTGAATCCTCGCGGCTCCCAATTTTAACAATTGGTTTAAACACAAGGCAAGATGAGTGGATTTTATTTGAGAAGGCGTGTAGGGAAAGAATACAATATAAATTTTTATGACATTTTTCAATGAGTCGAGTTATTTGAAGCAATTGTTTATTGAAGGTATTGTATTCTTACCCATCAGCATATCCCACACTTGGAGGTACTCACTATCCGTACTCGAACCCAAATACTTATAAATTCCAAATCGGTGAAATCATCGCTCCCCTCCAATAATAACACCTCTTTTTTTTTTTTTTTTTTTACTGAATAACACCTCTCTTTAAAAGTAGACGATTACTGCATAATTGAATGGTTAACATTTTTTTCGTATTTCTATTACATAACGATGCCAATTTGAAAAATTTGACACTCTAAAGGGATTCCCAATAAAATACCGTTTTACCGCAATGGTAGACAGAACATTAATTAACGGGTAATGTTATGAACAGGAGATGAAGCTTTATTATTGGTGGGAGAGAGGGGAAAGGACTATTCCAACGACAACGTCCAAACAAAAGAGAAGATGCATTGGCAAGATCTCCATCGTCAACAAGAACCAACGTCCGTAACAGAAGACCCAAAAGGAAGGACAATAATCACTTTCACCCCTTTCTTTCTTTGCGACACCGTAACGGCGAGAAGTGAAAGAGGTCGGTTACGCTTACGCTTACTTTCCCTGGTTGACTGAAACACGCGGGAAGTCCCGGGACACGCGGCAGCATGGCGGTGGCCCGATGTGGATATTTTAACTTTATTTCTGGAGGCGGGAAAAAGGAAAAATAATAAAGGGGATATATTAAAAAGGCAGAAAAAGACACGTTTCCATATTTAAAAAAATGAGGAATTATTGGATGGTC